CAATTGTATTTCCATAAGAGTGGTCTCGATCAAAGTCTTGTTGATTTGTCTAGTTTAGGCGGGACTAAGCAATTGGATTTAAGCTTTGGCCACATCCTCCCAACATTTGGTTGTCTTCCTTGTCCTTGCAGATTGCTGTGAAGATCTTGTTTCAAACTTGCTCTGTCTCTCTTTTTAAAAACTAGCTTGGGAACAACATTAATGTGAGTGAACCTCACCACTCCCCAGCTCAAAATTCCCAGGATATTAGCAATGGCAAGCGTTGTTTTTGAAGGGTGGAAATAAAGTTCTTCTTGCACCACCAGGAGCGAGGCTTGCAACACTGCTGTAAACTCCAGAGGCTGTTTCCCATTTTATTGTTTGTATAAATAGTTGACTTGAACATCTGTTCCTTCAGCGTGTATCATTTTTGTGAAAGAAACCTCCTGGAGCCAAATTCCACTTTTGATTCATAAACACTTGCCTAAGACAAGCCAACGGGGGATCCAAATAAACGTCAGCAAATCCATCTTCCAAAACTCTGGCTGTTCATTATTATAATTCTTTGGCTTCTTCAGTCAAGGGGGGGTGGGGTGGGAAACACGCCTCTCCCCATCTAATTATATTATAGAGTGGTTAAGTGTCTGTAATTAAGATGAGCTGTATCAAATCATTTAGTTCTTTTCTTAGTATTTCCAGAGGCAGTGCCAAGCTATTTACTGACCAAACAAGTCACTCTTCAATAAAGTTACCGTTAACAGATGCTGTGATGAATTTTATGTTAAGAACCAGAAATTAAGAACTTTTAATACAATCCTCCTCCTCCAACAACAACAATACACAGCCAAACCACAACAGATTTTGATGGACCTACCCCCAAGGTGGATTTGATTTAAATCAAATTGATTTAAATCACACTTTACATTTTAAAAAATCTGATTTTTTAAAAATTTAAATTGTGATCTAAATCCACTTGATTTTTTAAAAAAAACATACTGATTTTTATCCACCCTGTCTGCTCCCCAGCTATTGCCTGAACAATATGATCTTTTAGGTCCAAACAGAGTGGATTTTGCACTATACAGCCAATGAGGAAGAACTGATAATACTGTATACTATGGGGCAAATTAAGAACCAGGATGAACACAGCTCACCAGTCATGAGAGCTGGGCCGTATGGGAGCTGATAAAACTCCCTCATTTGATGCCTGCCTACAAAAGCAAATATATTGAGATGGTACTATACTATATATTACTGTATACTTTAGATATTACATGATAAAAGGTGGACAGTTAACTGCACTAAAATGTTGTATTAAATCCTTATCCCTAACAAGAGGCTGCTGTTCAGGGTTCCAGCCAGCCAATCAGTAAGGCCTTTGTTTGAGATACTGTAAAATGTTTAAACCCTAATAAATGTTTCACAAGAATGTGTCAGTTTTTAAGGTGCCTCGGGAGTCTTTATTTTTTAAATATACTGTTAGCCGAGACGGACAATATGTGGGGTTTTTTAAAACTATAATTCCCAGGATCTGGTAGCCAGAAATGGCAGTGGCTATGACGGTAGAAGAATTCTGGGAGACATATAGTGGGGCCTCGCTTAATGGGCGCCCTGTTTAACGACGAATCCACATAGCAAAGAAGATTTTGTGATCGCTTTTGCGATCGCATTGCAGTGTTCCCTATGGGGAAAAATCGCTTTGCGATTTTTCCCCATAGGCCCTACTTTCCCCCAGCTAATATAATTCCCAGGATCTGGTAGCCAGAAAGGGCAGTGGCTATGATGGTAGAAGAATTCTGGGAGACATAGTTCAGAAAACCCCAAATGTTTCCCATTTGTGGTGGATAAGAGATGCAAGCAAGCCGATTCAGTGCCATCCTTGGGCTTTCTGTTTTACAGTGTCTAAGTCATGCATAGCACCCCAGGTGTCAAGATATCTCTTCGGACCTTCCGAAGCTCCTGCCAGTCAGCTGGGGGGAATTGCCAGCAGGCGCTCGGGAGGAGGGTGGGGGAGCGTTCCCCCGCCCTCCTGGCCGAGGGCTGGCCAGTCAGTTGGGGGAAAAAGCCAGGGTGCGCTCGGGAGGAGGGCGACCAGTCCTCTGAAGATACCGGCCACAGAGACTGGTGAAATGTTAGGAAGAACCACCTTCAGACACGGCCAAAGAGCCCGAAAAACCCACAACAACCATATCTGTTCATCATCCTCATTCCTCTTTGCCATGCTTGTTGTGAGATAAACTGGTCTAGGATCTTCGCATAACGGTGAGTTTGGGCCCCATAGGAACGCATTAAACAAAGTTTAATGCGTTTCTATGGGGTTTTCCCACCCGCATTGCGATGTTTCTGGATAGCGATGATTAATCCGGAACTGTAGTTCAGAAAACCCCAAATGTTTCCTATTTGTGGTGGATAAGAGATGGAAGCAAGCCAATTCAGTGCCATCCTTGGGTTTTCTGTTTTTCAGTGTCTAAGTCATGCATAACATCCCTGGTGTCAAGATATCTGTTCATCATCCTCATTCCTTTTTGCCATGTTTGTTGTGAGATAAACTGGTCTTCTTTGGTTTCTAAAAAAGATTTTTGGAAAGCACTTTTGCAAACATCATAATTCCCAAAGGATTCCTCTGGGCATCCTTTGACCATGCTGTTAATTCTCTCTCAATTCTGTCATTAATGGAGGCACTAATATCACTATTAATTAACACTTTGAAATGACCCAGCAATACCAGTTTGTAACCCATATTTGTTAATTTCTCTGAAGTCAATTTAAAAACAATTATTTTCATAATTAAAATGTTCTTTTCACATTTCTCATTATGTAGTCAAATTCAAAAATTCCAAGCAATATTTTCAGCTTTAACAATGTATTGATCTAATGTATTAATGAACCAAGCTAACAAATTGATTCATGTACTAGATATCTCAACTATTTCTAGATCAACAAACGTAGGTTGCCTTAAGGATTTATGTTAATGAAAGGCTTCCCTAGCCTTCTAATGATTTTTTTTTAAAAAAATCCCAACAACTTCCCGTGGCACTTTAAAGAGTAACACATTTATTGTGGTGAGCCTTTTCCAAGTGGTTAGATATAGAAATGAAGATTTGAAACCTCTGTATTACAGGGAGCGATGCTGTCATATAAAACTGGGGGTGATGGTGGTAGTTGGAAAGGAAGGATGGTGATGGATCTGAATGGTTCATAAGTTGGGCAGACTACCTGTAAGGAACAATCATGGGCTGAGAAACCTGTCAAAGGCGCCATTGCCTGAGCTTGTATCATCAGCAAGAACCCGTCACAGAGTTAAGCATTTGCAATACAGACCTCAAGGAGTGAATGAACCAATGATGCTTATGGAGCTAACGAATGAAACAAGCAAGCCGGAAACTTTGGCAGAAGACAAAAACACACCCTCAACTCTTGTTTTTGGTCAATCAAGACAAGAGCACAAATTTCTTCCGGATGTTCCCGTGACCTCAGGCCAAGGTGATGTGCTTGATCTGCATTGCGGGGTCACACGAAAGGAAAGTTAACTGGGTACCATTCCAAGCTCACCGTTTTATGGTAATACAGTGGTGCCTCGCTTAACGATTGCGCCACATTATGATGAAATTGCTGTACGACGATCTTTTTGCGATCGCAATTGCAATCGCAAAATGATAGTCTAAATAGGGTTTTTTCACTTTGCGATGATCGGTCCCCTGCTTCGGGAACCGATTCTTCGCAAAACAGTGTTTTTTTAAACAGCTGATCGGCTGTTTCAGAATGGCCGCCGGGGGCTTAAAATGGCTCCCCACTGTGTTTAGGGGCGGATTCCTCGCTATACAGGCAGCGAAAATGGCCACCGTATGGAGGATCTTCGCTGGATGGTGAGTTTTTACCCCATTGGAACGCATTGAATGGGTTTCAATGTTTTTCAGTGGGGTTTTTAGTTTCATTTTATGATGTTTTTGCTTAACGGCGATTTTCCTGGAACGGATTATCGTTGTTAAGTGAGGCACCACTGTACTACATTTGCTTTGCATGGGAAAGGTCCCATGTTAAAATCCTCCCATCTTAAGTTAAAAGCAGAAGGTTTGGAGTGGGGTGGGGGAAATCCTATGACTGAGATACTTAGGAATACTGCTGCAAGTCGGAGCAAGTAAGCAAACAGATACTGCACGCAACTAATCCGCTTTTCATTGGAATGTGTTTGTATTTTTGTTGGAGGAGTCTCCACCTAAACCCTGAAAAGCCACAACTGAAAAACCAAGACACCTCTTTCTTAAACATGCCATGTACCTATTTGGCTGGATATTCACTCACAGTGAGGAAACCCAAGCAGTTATAGTGACATCAAATGGCTACAACTGCATAGTGTAGATGCACTCCCAGTATGTCTGTATTCCTTCCCTTTTCTCCTACTTTTAACTCCTCTCTCTCCCTAAGACCCTAACTGCTAGATCAGATCTACTATTTTCCTTTCTCTAATGGCAACCCAGATGCTTCTGGGAAAGCCCTTTTAAGAAGGGCACAAAGACAACCTGTTTCACAGCCACGAGCAGGAAAAATACATTTCCCAGTCACGTGATTAACTGGCAAAGCGATGTGATTAACGGTGCTTAAGCTCTTCCGTCACTGGGCTAAATGGATGAATCCCTGAATAATCCTCTGGTTACTCTCTACCCTCTGGGAAGACAGGTTCATTGTAAGAAGGCTGCTTACCTTGACACGTAGCATGATCTGTCGCCTCATATCCAACTGCGCACTGGATTCGAGAAGGGACGTTATCGGGAGGGGTCCGCCGAACAGGGTAAGGCGGAATAGCAGCTTCCCATTAGTTTCTATGGACGAAAAGAGCAGATACGGATTAAATGGTTTTCAATGCATTCCTATGGGAAATGAAGATTCGACTTACGAACTTTTCGACCTGAGAACTGCCTTCCAATACGGATTAAGTTCGTAAGTTGAGACCCCACTGTAATCCTCTGGTTACTCTCTACCCTCCGGGATGACAGGTTCATTGTAAGAAGGCTGCTTACCTTGACACGTAGCATGATCTGTCGCCTCATATCCAACTGCGCACTGGATTCGAGAAGGGACGTTATCGGGAGGGGTCCGCCGAACAGGGTTGCTGTTTCCGCCACTGGTGTTTTCAGAGGCTGTTCCTTCCTGGCCGTTGTTAACAATGATCTGAGCAGTTCTGGGCAGACAGAGGTATCCTCCAAAGTGGTTCACACATTTCATCCCGCCTTTGCATGCATCCGGCACAATTTCACATTCGTCAATATCTGTGGTTCATAACAGCATGAATGCAGGAATCAGAATGGGGACATTCTACGGACAGGATTGATTTAGGTGGCCTTTTTCAGATTATCCATTTAAAATATTTTTTCCCCACCTTTCTTCTAAAAAAAGGACCCAAGGCGACTTACATCATTAAAAAACTCAATATTAAATGCAAAAAAACAGTAAATTATTCAAATATAAAGAATTAAAAACGTTATATTAAAAATGTTCATGTTTTGTGGCCTTGTTATACTGACTTTTCCCATCTTTGCCATCACCCGAGTTTGCATTATTTGTCTGAGGCACAAAGTACATCTTGATTTATTTGATCATTAGTCTGTATGTGTTGAGTTGTTTCTATGTTATATTTTTATACTGTCTCTAACTTTAATATAAACTACCCAGAGCAGTGCCCAGTACCAACCAGGAAGTATACAAGATTAAGTTTATTAAATGAATGAACGAACAAACAAACGAACGAACGAACGAACGAACGAACGAACGAATGTTAGGTTTTGCATCTACAAGCAAACTGAATACTGCAAGACATAGCAACAATTTAGGTAATCATCCCTGGACTTCTGAATGAATAGCATGGGACACAGCACCACGATACCAGACTTGTGAATAAACGTGCAATGATTTTGACCTGCCGAAAATGTGCATTTAGACTTTTATCTATTACATCGATGTCCCACTTTTCCTCTACTGGACTCCGGGCAACAGAATGGCTTTTTCTCCTTCTTACTTTATATTCACAACACCTTGTGAAGTAGGTCAAACTCTGAAAGAATTATTGGCCTAAGGTCACCCAGTGAGTATGACGTTTCAGTAGGGGCTACAGTCTTGGTCTTTCCAATACTCCCCACTGCATGGGGACGTGAAAACAGGCCTAGAAACCATGGAATTGATTTTTGTTCTCCCTATAAAATTGCTGAATCACCTGCTGGGGGTTCTGTGCTGTCAGGTTGCTCCCATATGAATTAATGACCCCCACAAGGTTCTACCACTAACAGCACGGCTCAGATCTTATAATTAACTCAAGGCTATGGCTTCTTTCATTGAATCAATTCATCTCATTTTAGATCTCCCTCTTTTCCTACGGCCTTCTACTTTCCCTAGCACTACCATCTTTTCTAATGACTCTTGTCTTCTCACCATATGTTTAGAGTATGATAGCTTCATTTTACCACTTCAGATTCTAGTGAAAATAATTGATAATTATTCACTGTCAAGTCAACTGCAATTTATAGCAACTCTTCCCAGAGATGTCTAGGTATAAGTCACTCAGAAATGGTTTAACAGTCCCTGCTTCTAGCGGCCCTCAAGGACTCTTGTTGGTATTGTTTAGTCATTTAGTCCTGTTGGACTCTTCGTGACCCCATGGACCAGAGCACGCCAGGCCCTCCTGTCTTCCACTGCCTCCCAGAGTTTGGTCAAATTCATGTTGGTCACTTCGATGACACTGTCCATCCATCTCGTCCTCTGTCGTCCCCTTCCCCTCTTGCCTTCACTCTTTCCCAACATCAGGATCTTTTCCAGGGAGATCTCTCTTCTCATGAGATGGCCAAAGTATTGGAGTCTCAGCTTCAGGATCTGTCCTTCCAGTGAAGGACTCTTCCAGTGGAGCTACCTTTGAGATTGACGCGGAAGGTCCAAGTGGTGCAGAATGCGGCGGCCAGATTCCTTACTGGAGCGAGAAAATTCCATCATATTTCTCCCATTCTGGCTGCGCTGCACTGGCTGCCCATTCATTTCCGCGCTGACTTCAAAGTTTTGAGGCTTACGTACAAAGCCCTAAACGGTTTAGGGCCTCGATACTTGGTGGAATGCCTACTCCCACCAAGTTCTACCCGTGTCATTCGTATTCGCACGGCTCCCTCGCTGGGCATCTTTAAAAATCAACTAAAAATGTGGACGTTTCAGCAGGCCTTCCCTCCAGTTAATCCCTGATGTTTCCATTTCCTCTCTTCCCCTACTGTTTGCCTCCCATCTTGTTGAATGTGTTCATTATGTAATATTTTTCTTTTCTTTTATATATTTCCTGTGTATTTTTATGATGTAGGCCGCCTAGAGTGGTCATAACTGACCAGATAGGCGGGATATTAAATAAATAAATAAATAAATAAATAAATAAATAAATAAATAAATAAATAAATAAATAAATAAATAAATAAATACAGCTTGCCAAAAGGCTCACACAAAGAGGAGAATTCAAATCCTGCCTCTACAGCCAGGTGCTCCAACTCCCAAGCTTTCTAACTACCACGAGAACCCACTTACTAATTTTCTGGCAATCTGTGGTGCTCATAAACTTGTCTTCCAACACCATATTTCAAAAGAGTTGATTTTAGACACTTCAAATGTTTTTTAATTTATTTGTATTCCTGACCAATGTTTAATTGTTTTTTTAAATGAAACTACATTTTTGTATGGCATTTTTAATTTGTTATTACTGTATGGTTTTAATAGCTGTGAGCTACCCTGGATCCACTATGGGGAAAAGGTGGCATATAAATACAATAATAAAATTAATTAATAAATAAATAAAACTTGAGAATCCTATGATGACATCCAGCTAAAGATCATCAGTGATCCCAGACCTAATGGTGTTGATTAGCAATATGTGTAAGCCCTATTTGGGATGTTCATCTCCCACAATAACAATGTTTACACCTAATAAGGAGAATCCACATGCAAGAAAAGTCTAAAGAGAAGTTATAAAAGAGAGGAAATGCATTGGAAATTCCCCGTCAGCTTCTGATTAGTGCATACTCTAGGTAGACCTCTGGCAGATACAAACACATCAATGCACAATTTGTTGCAATGTACCATACCTTTGCATTGCTGCATGACAGGATCCCATTCATAACCATCAGTGCATTGCTGCATATAAAAGAAAGAAAATCAGGTGAAACAAAGAAAGTAGGATGACCAATTAATGGAATAACTACATTACTGCTGTGTACCTGTCTTTAGTTCTATAGAAGCCCTGGGAAAGAACCCTACCTTATTCCTCAACAAAAGAATACCACCATGAATCAACAGTTATGAACGTTCAACAAAATTCGGCAACAAATGGCACTGCTGAATTTCAGCGCCAATTTGCAAACAAAACAGAACACCACTGAAAAGAAACATTTTTCTTGCTATGATGCTTTTGCATGAAACCGAATGGAGTGGTCCTTTGAACTGGATTCTCTCCGTTTCCAGTTGAATTTTGAGAACAAACCACTACAAGACATCCAAAGCAGAGAAAATATTCACTTTAAATTGTTCCCCCTCTCCGCTGTTGACTCCCAATTTCAGCAATGCAGTTTTTAGGGTTGCCTTGGAAAGAGAGCAGAAATTGCCTGGGGCCCATGGGCCATAGACTGCTCATCCCTATTCTAGATTAAGAACATTCACTCTCTAGTTAGGAGAAGCCACCCAGACTAGTCAATATTAGCCTAAAATATGCCAACCTAGGCCATAGTTGAGCATTTGTTCAGCTTTCCTTGCACTCATGATACCACTGTTTCAAAACTCACTGTTCATACAAGACAGGGCTAATGCCAGCATCAACAGAGTCAAAGTGGGAGAGGGAAAAAACCACCTTGCTTTCTGGATATTTTTTTTTACACCACCCTCAAGTAGTGGTGAATTTCAGTTCTGCTTTGCTCCAGTTTGCTCCAGTGCAGCTTCTGTTGGTGTAGTTCCCTGGTGCTGATCCGCACACTTTGTGGATGGGTGTCACTTGATGATGTTTACTTGTGGGCTTTTTTTCTGCCACCCCTGTCAATCGCCACCCCTCACACCCAATGGAAAAGGTAAAAGAAGGAGGGAGGAGAGATCAGAGTAGGGAGGCAGAGGGTGTGGAAGACAGGCAAAAGAGAAGGGCAATCTGCATTGGGAACAATTCCAGACATCTGTAGGCAGGAAAACCCAGAGTTATCCCTGGACATCCCAAATACTGGGACCATCTATTCAAATCTGCAACAACAACAAACCAGAAGAAACCCAGAATGACGGGAAATGACACCACTGTGCGGACAGGCTGCAAACCTTCCATCTGACAAATGACTCCTGACGCCATACTTAATATTTCTAGGTGGGCAATGGCATGAGTCAGTTCCCGCGAAAGCAGTAAAGGTTCTCATGGCACCTTCAGTCGGATTTGAAAAGTTAATGAATTCCAGTTATAGTTCTGTAGCCCCAAGAAGTAGCTACTTAGCTACATTTTTTTAAAAAAGCCTTAATTTTCTATTAACCAGAAAGAAAGAAAGAACAATCTAGTTCTTTCAAACATCTGAATGCTTTTCAGTCAGAAGTACAATCTTTGAACCATGTAATATTCCCTGTCTACCTTTTAAAAAGGTCGCCGCTGAGACTTATAAGGAACAATAACACTGAAAGGAGAATGAGGATATTATGCATTATACAACACATTATAAGACACAATTGTAATGAAACAGGATTCATACTAATACCTCTCTTATTGGGAAAAGGAGCAAATTACACACACACACACATGAATATATGAATGTGTGTGTGCGTGTATGTGTGCATATGCATATGTACCATATATACTCGAGTATAAGCCAACCCAAATATAAGCTGAGGCACCCAATTTTACCACAAAAAACTGGGAAAACTTATTGACTCAAGTATAAGCCAAGGGTGGAAAATGCAGCAGCTATTGGTAAATTTCAAAAATAAAAATAGATGTCAATAAAATACATTAATTGAGGCACCAGTAGGGTAAATGTTTTTGAAGATACTGCCCTTCTGAGCTGCGAGACACACTTTACTGCCTGAGGAGGGAGACTCATACCAGATGCTGTGCTTTTCTACTGCCCTACTGCTGCGTAACAAGATGGAGGGAGACGGAAGGTGGAGGAGGAAGGTGGGAGGAGGAAGATGGGTACATAGAATATGCAGAAGGAGAGGATGGGAGTGTCCTGGAAACGGAAATGCCCCCATCTCCTGCTTTTGGACATCCAAAAAATTAGCAGGTGCATGAACAAGTAAATAATTGCTTCTAATTTTGGTCCTTGGCAAAGAACACGATGTTCCTCTTGTGGAGGAGCGGTAGTTGGTACCCACTGAAAAACATCAGGAGGTTGAACTAACCCTAGGATGCAAAAATGCATGAGTGAATTTTCTGTGCTAAGCACCACATTTTTCTTAAGCACTAGGGAGGCGGAAAAACACACGCACACACAAAAGCCTTGAGTTAATAAGCCAGCTTGTCGCCACGAGTCAAGCTCACCGCACCGTAACTTGGTAGGCACCTGTGGAGTCCATGCCAGCGATGGATCTGTCCTAGCCTGTTGGGGGCTGCATTGCTTCAGAGGCTGGGCTGTGGTGTGTGTTTTTTTGTCCTTAATTTTCTTCTGGCAGCTTAGTTACTCCTGTAACTTTAACACAGCAGCACAAAGTTTCTGAACACCCTCCCCCTCGAAAAAAAAAACACCTCATTGTGATTATTCGCAGGCCTCGCTAGCCATCTGCCAAATCTAGCAGGGAGCTGGAGTGGAAGAGGTCTTGAGTGTAACAAAAGGGGAAGAGGGCAGAGAAATGCGTTCAAGTTCTTGCTCTCTAAAGAAATGACAGCATCGTGAGTTAACACAACTGGGGGTTACTGGAGCTATAGAAAGACACCTCCCCCTCAACCACCACCCCCCAGACCACTTCTGTGCCCGGAAGGAAAACAGCAAACTTAATAAATCTCTCCAACCCCTGTTTAATGCACACCCGTTTATAACCCAAAGGAGGGCAGCTGACTCATCCTAGAAAAATCTATTTCAATGTGACTACACAGCCTTTTCTAAAGCCTGCGCTTGTATATTTCTTAACACAACATGCCTACAGGTGTCTAGGCAAAGGTTAAGTCCCATTGAATTTAACAGGATTGACTCCAGTCATAGGTTGCAGTCCTTTCCGCACATTCTTTAAATTTATTGTTTATTGAATACATTTCCTGGCTATCTTTTGAAACCATGGTCTTCCCAAGGCAGCCTTCTATACAGAACAGTGACATTCAGCATCAAGATATAAAAGCCTTTTAACTGTAAGGAACCTTGAATAATCAACTGAATTGAATACAATCTCAAATGTCGTGTGTTTTTGCAAATAGAAGTCTACGGCAAGCTGAAACAGCTTTTAATTACAACAAAGCAAGCCTGCAACTTTAGCAAGTTCAGAGGAGAGCAAAAAGGATGATTGGGGGCCTGGAAACCAAGCCCTATGAGGAAAGACTGAGATAGATGGGCATGTCTGCCTTGAGAAATGAAGACTGAATGGAGATAGGATAGCACCTTTCAAATACTTAAAAGGTAGTCATACAGAGTAGGGGCAAGATCTGTTCTTGATTATTCCAGAGTGCAGGACACGTAACAATGGGCTCAAGCTACAGGAAGCCAGATTTAGGCTGAATATCGGGAAAAACATCACAACTGTTAAAGCAGTGCAACTATGGAAACAATTATCTTGGAAGGTGGTGAGTGCTTAAATACCAGAGGTATTCAAGACAAAATTGGACAATGATCTGTCAGATCTGCTTTGATTTGGATTCCTGCCTTGAGTACGGGGTTGGACATGATGGCCTTATAGACCCCCTCAAAATCAATTAGTTTATGATTATAGTGTTAAGATAAGTGAGCAACATTTAATAGCCTGTAGAAAAACGAAGCCTTCACCTGGGGACTTAAGCCGAAGATGATAAAGAGAAAGTTGGCATAATCTCCTTGGAGAAAGAGTTTGGTGCTGGCACACAATAGGCCCATATAGTCTATCCACCCACCTCACACTCCTTGGAAGTGGGACAGCTAGCAGGGCTTTGAATGATCAATGCTAATTTTGGGCACATACCGTGTATGTTATGGTATCCTCTGCTTCTTGCGAGTGTACTGCAGCCAGCATCAATGAAGCGAGGATTGTCAATACCACCATCATGAACCTTTTAAAAAAGGAAGAAAAATAGGAAACCCAGTGTTATTTTGTTCATTTTTTTAAAACCAGATGATAGCCTAGTGGCAGTGAATGGGCCCTACCTTTACTGACTATAGGTGAGTAAGGTGTCATATGTCTTTCTGAATCTTTCAGACAAAATGGTGGCCATCTATACAGTATTTCTTTTTAAATTTTTGTATATTTATTGATTTTTCCCTTAAAATTGCCGGCTAATATTGTAAGATGCCTCCTTATTCATTGTTACATCATTTTAAACATTTTTATTTAAATTTATTTATTTTTATTTAAACATTGTCTTTTAACAATGTTAACCACCGTTGTATACCCACTGTTTTCAACTTTAAATACCGTCTTTCACTGTTGTAAGCTACCTTCAAGGAGAAAGACAGGGTAAAAATAAATAAATAAATAGAATGAATGAATTAATGAATTAATGACTATCAGGCATCTTTTATGTTTTTGCTTTTCTTTAGTCAGAAGAATTATTTGTACACTGTACAGGATGGGTGGGCAAAGTGTGGCCCACAAACAAACAAATAAATAAATAAATAGAATGAATTAATATCAGGCATTTTTTATGTTTTTGCTTTTCTTTAGTCAAAAGAATTATTTGTACAATGTACGGGATGGGTGGGCAAAGTGTGGCCCACGTGGCCTGCCATGGCTGTTTTAGTGGCCCCCAGCTTTTTCTGTCTGAAGAAGTGGATCTATCAATGAAAGCTCAGCGTTGAGAGATACAACAATTAGTGTTTAAGGTGCCACAACTCTCTTGTTTTAATGTTTGTTTCAGTTTAGGGCTGGACAGCTTTCTCTGGTCTCTTCTTCTTGGGTGAAAAATTGAAGAAGCCTTCTTGAGGGATCTTTTGCTTTTTAAATAAGCCACACGGCCTTGCCACACCATGTAACACTTCTAAATATAAAATTGTTTAAATTTTTTTTGCAGTGTTTTAGAATCTTTGTTGATCCCCAGATGGTCACAAGGATCAAACACTGACACGCACCCCTCCCACAGACACAGAGACAATTGCCTGGTAGAATGGGGTTTGGGAAAGTTATCTTTTTGGACCACGTCTCTCAAAAAAAACCTCGGCGAGCACAGCCATGGTGGGGGATTCCTGGGAGCTGTTCAAAACAAGTACCTTTTAAAGCTCTGGTGGCTTTTAAAAGTCAGCAGTCTAAAGATCTTGGTTTTCATGAGGAAGCAACCGTGAGGTGTTTTAAGCACCTGTCAAAAGCCTCCCTCTTCATGCTGGTCTTCCCTGCAAAAAACGAGCCATGCTGTCCACTATGTGAATTCTTGTGTTTCTGAGTGTTCTTATTTTTAACATCTTGACCGATCAATTTTTTTAAAAAAATGTATTATTATGAAGTGCTGCATTTTCCACATTTGGTTTCTTGATTTTGCATTTCAGACCACTTGAAAATTATTCTGCAGGTATGGTAAGGAGTAAAAAAAAAAGGGACGAAAGCAAAATAAACAAGTACAGCCAAACTCTATTAGTTCCAGGCAACTGGGCCATGTTGAACTGGATCATCACAAATACATGCATGCCAAAGGCATACATCCTTTTACTTCAAAAGCAAAACACAACACAAGAAATCAAGAGTAAGTGTTCAGTCTCTGCTGATATTGCTTACCGGTGTTATTATTATAAAGTATTAAAAAGTAATCATACGAAATGCTCTTTATATTACTTTTCCAATTATTCTGAAAATGCATTTAAACATTACTGAAATATCTTGACACAGAGATGTGTTCGCAGCGATGTCTTAGAGAAGAGTAAGAAATTCACCTGAAAACAGATCCACTAGGAGAGAAGAGGAGGATGCTTCTTGACCAGGCTGGGGGGCTGTGTGGGTATTTTTCTGCTTCTGGAAACAAAATAAAACAAAATAATTTTCTTAAGAAAGAAATGTTTTCAATACACGGCTGTAGGAACAGAGTTTGCCATGACACCAGCTAACCTTCTGAGATGAGTTAAAGGGAAGACCAAGCAGGGACATCTAACTTGGGGGTGGGGGTGGGAAGTTGTGCAACTCAAGCATCTGCCACAAATGATTTACAAATTACGGGAGTGCAGAAGAGCAAGCAGATTGGTATAAGAATCAGAATATGAAAAAATTACTTTTTTGGATCACAATTCTCAGGATTCCCCCCAGGTGGCATGACCACTGGCCACAATGGTCCAGACATTCTGGAAGTTGTATTCCAAAGACAGACAGACAGACAGACAGACAGACAGACAGACAGACAGACAGACAGACAGACAGACAGACAGACAGACAGACCAACCGGCTGACCCGTATTTGCAACAGAAAAGAATTAAATAATTTAGAGCAACATGTATTCTGGGCTGTACATATTGTAAATTTACATCTTCTAAGACTTTGGTACCACCAATCAAAAAGTAGACTTGAGTGCCACATGTCTGCACAACTTAAGACATGCCATCATCCTTCCAGAATAGGACTGCAAGCTTCCCTGTCATTGTCAAACCCTAAGGGAG